TCACTGAGATCTCCCTTTTCTACACTCATCTCACATCACTCAGATGTCTTCCTCCACTATCTCTTCTTTCACTCCTATCTCACATGAAGAGGTGATCCTTTGCCTTGCCATATCAAACCTCTCTACATGTACAATTAATTTAATTCCTTCCAGTATTCTCTGGTAGATTTCTCCCTCTATAATCTCTGTTTTCTCACTAATCTTCAATATCTCCTTTTCTATTGGCTGATTCCATACTGTTTACAAACATGACAGTGTCTCTCCCGTCTTCAAAAATACCATTACTTGAATCCTACTGGTTCTATAATCTTTCCTCCCTTTTGTGGTCAAACCCCTTGAGAAGGTCATCTACAATCTATCTCCTTTCCTCTCACTCTCTTGTTGATTCTCTATAGTTTGGCTTCTGACCTCACCATTCAACTGAAAGTGCTTCTCCAAAGTTACCGATAATCTCTTAATCACGAAGTCTAATGACCCTTTCTCAATCTCCATCTTTCTTGATCTCTCTGCAGTCTCTGATATTGCCTTTCATGCTTTTCTCTTGGATTCTCTGTTCTCTCTAGGTATATGCCCCATCACCTCCTCTGACCTCATTACGTCACACTGGAACTATTGCAATAGTCTTATCTGCCTCCTTGCCTTAGGTCTCTTTCCACTCCAGTCTGCTCTCCCCTCAGCTGTCAAACTGATCTTCCTAAAGCACAGGTCTAAATATATCACCTCCCTACTGCATAAACACCAGTGGCTCCCTATTGTTTGTCCTACAAAATTAAAATTTAAAATTCTGTTTAGATTTTAAAGCTCTTTATAATCCGGCCTTTCCAGATTATACCTTTCCAGTTTCCTTACATCTTATTCCTCTCCACATACATGAACCAGTGATTCTGGACTCATTGTTCTACAAATAAGACACGTACCATCTCCTGACTGGGGGTGTTTTCATTTACTGTCTTCTATACCTGGAATTCTCTCCCTCCTCATTTCTACCTCCTGGCTTCAAGTTGCAGCTAAAGTCCCACCTTCTACAAGAAGCCTTTCTTGACCCACCATCTCTCAGTCCTAGCGCTTTCCCTTGGTTATTTCAAATCTTTCCCATGTAGCTTGATTGTACATAACTGTTTGCATGTTGTCTCCATTAGACTAGGAGCACTTTGAAGGCAGGGACTTCTCCCCATTTCTTTGCCCTTCCCCAGCATTTGCCCAGTGTCTTGCCCATAGTAGGCATTTGAAAATACTTGTTGACTTATTTTAAGCCATTTAACTTCATTTGTTGTTCAGTTCTTTCTAGTAATATAGAAAAGACAAAACTTTGCCTAGGCCCTTGAAAGCTATCTAACGATTTATTAGCAGACTATGAAATTCGTAAAGGAAAAGATAGTGTCTGATTATCCCAATTTATAGGATTAGCCCAGTATCTATAATTTTGTAATATTTAATAAATATTTGAATTACATTTTATGATTTGAGCTTTGAAGAACTCACTGATGCAGATATAAATACATACATACATCTATATGTACATATATATAACCACATATTATATATGTACATATATAATATGTATATGTGTAGATATCTATTTCATGAGTTGCTATGGCCAAAAGAAATTAAGCTTGACAGATATGGCCCACTGCTTGGCTGTACTTGAAGCCTTTCCATTTTGGTAGGATCTGCCCAAATTTCTACTTTTCTGGGGATCTGCTGGTATACTCTTTGAGAACCTGAACAATTCCATGTTGAAATTGAGGTATCTGAGTAGGATTTCATCCATAATTATGATAGAATTTTACAATTTGTCAATATTAAAAATGCCTTATTAAAATTCAAATACCTCTGGGAAGCATCACATTTTAAAATCATTATTAGCTAATTATTAACTAATTATTATTAGCTAATAGTTTAGTTGTTAGTCTGTTCCAAAGAAATTGGTTTAAAGATTAGACGCTTAGGGACTAGGAGTTGTACAACATAGAGGAACAAAGACCTTTTCTAAGAAGGCATTGCTGATAGTTATTCCTCTTTACTCTGATATCTTGATACTGGTGTAACTTCTTTTGCTGGGTCCTAGCTTCTGGTATGTCAAAATTGGAAGCATGGGAGAAGCTCATACAGTGAGGTGGCATAAGGTACTGAAAAAAGGAACGAATTTCAAGTCAAAGAATGAGAGTTCAGATTCTGGCTCAGCTTCTTAATCTGTATGACCTTGACCAAAGTAATTTTTTCTGGGCCTGAGTTTCCTTGTTTTTAAGAGAGGCAGAGTGGGGTAAGATACAGAATGTTGGATTTGGAATGAGAAAGACAAGGTTTAAATCCTTTCTACCTGGTCAAGTCAGCTTAACCTTTGGGCTCTCTTATCCTCTTAACCAGAGGTGGGGAACTTGTGGCCTTGAGGCCACATGTAGGCCCTCTAGGTCATCAAGTGTGGCCCTTTGACTGAATCCAAACTTCACAGAACAAATCCCCTTAATAAAAGGATTTGTTCTGTAAAACTTGGACTCAGTCAAAAGGCTGCACTTGAGGACCTAGAAAGCCACGTGTGACCTGGAGGCTGCAGGTTCCCCATACCTGCAGTCTTAACTCTCTGAGAATGAGTTTTCTCAATCTGTAAATGAGTATCATCATAGTACTTCTAATAATAGTAAAACCAGTAGTAATATCTTACAGGGTTGCTGTGAGAGAACATTAAAAAAAAATTTGCAAACTTTCAAGTATTACATAAAATATGAGCCATTATTATTGTTTATGGGAGAACTGGATTAGGTGAGTCCTAAGATTCTTTTCAGAGGTTTTAAAACCTTTGATCCTATGACATTTAGACTTTTTCACCCATCTGATGAGTCAGCGTTCCTGCTTGAATGAAGGTTACAGTGCTGGGGGGGGGGGACACAGACCTGGATGATGGTAGTGGTGGTAATGATGGTGATGATGACTACCCTTTACAAAGCACTTTACAAATGTCTTATTTGATTCTAACAACCAACTTTCCCATGTAGCTTGATTGTACATAATTGTTTGCATGTTGTCTCCATTACACTATGAGCACTTTGAAGGCAGGGACTTCTCCCCATTTCTTTGTCAAGGTAGGTGCAATTATTATCCCCATTTTAAAGATAAGGAAACTGAGACTTATTAAGGTTGAGTGACTCACCCAGGGTCATGTAGCTAGTGTCTGAGGCCAGATCTGAATACTAATTACAATAGCTAACATTTATATAGCCTGTGCCAGGCACTGTTCTAAATGCTTTACAATTATTATCTGATTTGGTCATTCAAATGCTATTATTATACCCATTTTACAATGAGGAAGCTGAAGCTGACAGAAATCAAGTGACTAGCCCAGAGTGACAGTGCTAGTAAAAGTATATGAGATGGAATTGAACTTAGGTCTTACTAACTCCAGGGTCACCTGCTCTACCAAATCCAAATTGATAAAACAGAGAAGAACCTGAGAAAATCAAATGTAGTAGCAGAAAACAAATTTTTTTGGGGGGGGGCAGCAGGAAGTTTTCATTAACAACCTCCTACTTCATATACCCACTTGTATCTTCATTCAAGGGACGTAAATATATTTAAATACTTAAACTCTATTTTGGCAGGAGAGTCGGGCCATTCCCCCCCTTCCCCCACCCGGGATATAAGTAAAGGCTGGGGATGGGGGAGGGGAGTGACGATGGGGAAAGGGAGTGGTAACAGCTACAAGGGAATGACCCCTAGGAAAGCAAGAAGGTCCTAGATATGTAGGCTCTAGAAGAAGGAGCGTTCAATAATGCCCTTCCCACTTGCCTTACAATGAAACAAATCAAATGTCCCCAAGTAAACAAATCCAAGAGAAACCCACTAGGATCCTTAGGGGGGAAATAATGTAAAGTAGTTCACTTTTCAGATGCAGAAACTTAAGTTCACAGAAAGAGTATCATGCCCAATCACAGCTGGCATGTACACATAGGCTTCAGGATTAGAATCCAGGTGTCTAAATTCGAATCAGCCTCTCAATTCAGGGTTTATCCCTTCTTTACACCACTCTATTTCTTATGTCATCTCCCCAAAGAGACTGAGCTCCCGAAGAATTTTCAGCATTAACCCTAAATAATGCTAGGCATCACAAACCCGAGCCCAGCTATTACAACTTGTGGTCCGTCCTTATGCAAATACACACGCTGGGCGCGGTGGACGAGAACCAAGTCAAGACGCAACAAAAAGAAAATTCTGGCCTTTGGCTCGGGGTGGGCATCCCGGAGAGGCAGCCGAGTCCTTTTCAAAATCACAGCCAGTCTGGCTAATTACTGTGGATTAACACACGGGAGCACTCGGAAGCGGCGTCCTCTTCCAGGGATCTTGAGGACCTTCACTTGACCAGCTGCCCATCCTGAATGAACTGCGTGGACTACGGCCGCTGGAGTCCCAGGAGGTGTCTTACTCCCACCCCTTACAAGGTGACATCGTGGCTCCTGCCCGCCCACCAGAAGAACGATGTCCCTGAGTGCCGCAAGGGAGCCGGTGGTGGCTCGGAGCATCTCCTAACTTTGGCTCCCTGATGCGCGAGCCCTGTGTTCCCCGGGTTTGGAGGCAACACCTGCCGCCGCCCGCACTTGCTACCCATATAGTTCCCGGCTGCTCCTGCCCCGGACGCCAGAACCCCGACGGCGCGGTCCCAAGAGCGTCAAGACCAGCCGGCCAGGGTGTGCTTTTCTGCCCCAGCCGGGAACCAGCGAGGAGGAAGAGGAGGAGGAGGAGGAGAGGGAGCGACTGGGCCTGGGTGGCTCAAACGTCTGGGCACGTCCGAGCCGGGGACCAGAAACTTTGAGCTGCCCAGCGCCTGGATCCCGCCGCAGCTCCGGCCAGCCGGAGGAGGAGGGGGAGGCGGGCGCGAAGTCCAGGGGCAGGCGCCCCGGATCGGCCAGCCCCGAGCTCTCCTCCGCGGCTGTGCTGAAGCGTCTGGGGGCTGCCGGGCTCTACGGCTGCTGCTGTTGTTGCTGCGGCCCCCGCCGCCGCCGCCGAGGGGCTCTGGGGGGAGGCGCAGACGGAGCCGGCGGCGGAAGAGGAGAAGAAGGGGAGAGGGGGAGGAGAATGGAGCCCCGGGCGGCGGCTGAGCCCGAGCCCCCGCCCGCCTCCTCCGCCTCCTCCGCCTCCTCCTCCTTCCAGGCCCGGTTCTGGAAGAACCTGCAGCTGGGGGGCAGCAAGAGCAAGGGCGGCGGGGGCGGGCGAGTGGGGCCGGGCCTCTGGCGGGAGAGCCGCACTGCGGGGACCCCGTCGCCCTCCCCGCCTCCGCCGGGAGGCAAGCGCGATGGGCTGGGAGGCAGCAGGTGGAGCGGCTTCAAGAAGAGGAAGCAGGTGCTGGACAGAGTCTTCTCTTCCTCCCAGCCCAACCTCTGCTGCTCCTCGGCCGAGCCCCTGGAACCGGGCGGCGGCGGCGCGCAGCAAGGGTCCGCCCTGCGCCGCCGAATCCGGGAGCATTTGCTCCCGGCTGGGAAGGGGCCCGCGGCCGCGGCCGGAGCGACGCCGCCTGGCGGCTGCTCCCCGGACTCGGCGCCCTCCTCCTCCGCCTCCTCCGTCTCCTCCTCGCCTCAGCCGCCCCCTCGGGGGCAGCGGGCAGGCGATGAGGGCGCCAAGAGGCCGGGCCCCAGAGCCCACCTGTCCCACCAGAAGAGCTCCTCCCTGCCTGGCACTGCCTGCCTGGAGCAGCTCCTGGAGCCTCCGCAGCCGCCGCCGCCCCCTCAGCCCGCGGCCCCAGAGCAGGAGCCTGCCCCGTCCGAGGCTGCGATCCCGGACAAAGGCGAGGAACTACGGGGCAGCGGCCAGGTGAGTCGGATACGCTCACGCGCTAATGGGGTGGGCGTCAGTATTCTTCTGGAACTGAAGGAGTGAGGGGTCCCTCTCCTCCCTCTCGGGGTTCCGGAGTTAAGATTGCTGAGATGCTAGTGAGGAGGCAGATGCAAAAGTTACTGCTGCACTGATAGGGGTCCAATAAGTGATGGAGACGAGGAGGCGGCTGATGCCTTTCCGTCCGTTCACTGGGGATCTTTCCCAGCACGATGTAGAATGTCCGAGCCGAATTGCCTTCACTTGCGCGGATGACACCTGCCACCCGAAATCATTTGGCTGGCAAAAGTGGGGCTTTAGAAAAAGAGAATGTTACTCTTGGAAATGTGTCTTAAAGGCGGTGTCGGTGGGGTGAGTTCCTAGGTTTCCTTAGAGGCGCAGTTTTCATTTGAAGCAATTACCAAGAGAAAGGGGCTAGGGAGGGAGAGTTAGAGATTGTTATGAATGTGGTTAAAGTGCTGTCAAACGACTTGCAATTTTGTATCTTACCCATTTACTTCTCTTGTCTTCCACTAAAGAAATCTCAGGTGTTACCGAATAGGTGAGTGTTAGAGAATCTTGGTTACCTTACTTTTCCCAAGCTTCTACAGTAATGTGTAAGGTTTTCCTATCTCAGCCTTTTCTTTTTAAAATATATCACTTTTAAAAACGAACCAAATACAACTTTCAGACTATTGGCCAGACACAAAGACGACTTTTTTCTTTTTTGAGGCGACGTGCACTTTTACCCTTGGGGGTATGATTTTGGTAGGCAGCCTTTCCAGAATTTCTTGGAAGGTTTTTAGTGTGAAAAAAAGGTTAAACATTTCAATGTTTCCACTGGTTTAGATACTTTTAGACAGTTTAATTTATTTGAGCTTTATAGTTGCTGAAAAGTTAATGATGAAATAAATCAAGAGAGTAATTAGATTGAATTCGACTGTATTTAAATAAGTGGGGCGTCAGAGGAAGTTTTTTAGAATGAAAAGTTTTTTCTTCATTAGGTTGTTGGATTTTGCTGAGAGCAAGTAAATTCATGTCCTTTTTCTGTTGTTTGGGAAACAGAGCTGCAAGTTGTATGTGGAGTTTCTTTTTTTCCTTCTTTGAACCAAGAAGTCTGTTACAAAGTATCTTTAAGTATTATTTTCTGAACTCTCCATTTTGGGAGAAAGAGAAGGGTTAGAATTTGTGAACCAGTAATTTCAAAATGTTTGGTGCTTTTAAATCAGAGGATCCTATGACATAAAAAACACACACAAGAAAGGTATAATACAGCATTTGTAATAAAGCTAATTTTTAAAGAGGGATTTTGAAGATAGGGCAGGGGAAAAATCCTGAGAATTTTGACAATGAATTACTGGATATCAACATTGGAAGTGTGTAACTAATGAATTACTACATGTCAAATTAGACAAGTGTGACTCATTTAAAATATTTACCTATTTCGGTGTAAAAATGTGGGAGATAGTTAATCATGCTTATTATTCTAGGGCTGATCCATGGATATTTGAAATTTTAAATCCATAGGTCCTCATTAAAGCTTTTAAAAGTCCCTCATGTTGGAAACTAGAGATAGTCTTGGTTTTCAAAGTATTGCAAAATTATTTTGAACCAAAGTTAAATCTGTAATTCCCTATGGGATAGTGTCAAATATTATAAGGTCACATTCTTGAGGGCAATCATAAATCTGATGTATAAGAGTTTTACAGTAATATTCAAACTGTCCTAATGCATTGTTGATTTCTTATATAAGTTTTTCTAAAGTTATAATATCAGATCAACTAGATGATACATTGTTTTCTTTGTAGATATGTTATTGTGACTATTAACTGCTAAACCTTATTACTGATCTTAGATCAAGATAAACTTTCAAATGCAAGCTACTATCATAAGGAAAGTGGGGAAAAACCCCTATATTGATTTTCATGTTCATTAATAGCATATTCTTAAATTAATGTCTACCCAGTTTTCTGATAAAACTGTAGATATAAATGTGAATCTTTCATGGAGAAAAGCTGCAGATTCATTAGAACTGGAAAATTTTGCTCTTACCTGAGAAAGAACATGCAAAATTACTTTAGTTAATACAAGTGGTCTACCATAAAATGCACCTAGGGAGTTGTTTGTTTACCCATAGGAACCCCTATTTTGCAAAGATGTTACAAATATTTAGTATGTTTCCACATTTTATTACTATATGCCATAACCACATTTTCTCACTGACTTTAGTTAATTCCATTTTCTGTATTTAAAAGCAACCCCCCCAAATGTTTACTGCCCCAAAAACCCCCATTATGAGGAGGTATTCTTTTTCTTCTCCTTCCTTGTGTCCCCTCCTCTTACCCATAGTGCCGAGGAATGGAAGAAACTATAGGAGCTTTCTGTCTCTAATAAGGTGATTCTGGTCAGTCATTACCTTAAACACTAGGATGTTCACCTGGATTCTATGTTTCATTTCACAAAGGTGCAATAGGAGCAGATCTACACCACATTTGCCCTCCGTCCTTTACAAATGAGATGAATCTTTATGACTTGTACAAAAAAGTGCTTCACAAAATCTGACCCTCATTGACTACCTTTTCCCAACCCCAAGTAGAGGCATGGTGAGTTCCATCTAGGTATTTGGAGCTGCAGTTGTCATTTCTCCCTACTAATCTGTCACTCTAGATGCTTTCATAGGTCATAGTTGGGAAATGGGGGAGAAGTTGGGGACGTGGTAAATGTAAGCCTTACGACCCTAAAAGATTGGGGAGGGTCCAAGTGTCTGGGAAGCTTCGCCAGTTTTCTCCTCCCCATTCCATTAGTCCTGGGGAGGACGGATCTCATATATTTACATTTTATTTACAAATCATAATGTGGTAATGTTTGTTAAGCTCTTTAAGGTTTGCAAAGTAGAGTATATATGTGTGCATGTATGTGTATATACACACATATGTATATCCACATATGTATATCCAGTATTATTGTTGTTGTTAAATATATATTAAAAACATAGAAACCAGGAAAAATGAAAACTATACTTTGTGAAGGTAGCCATGATATCCAACAAATAATTTCTCCATAGACAGAAAATATGTATAAAAATATTGCAATTTTGTTTTATTCTTCTCTTAGTCTTGGTTTGGATTAGACATTAACAATCACTCTACCCCAACACATACTGTTCCTATGATTCTGGATGAAGATATTTGTGAAAAAAATCAGTTTTGGATTGCTAGGGAAAGATATTTGGGAGGGATCCATGTACAAATGAATTAGGATAAAATGGCTAGCATCCATGAATGTCTGTCTCAGTGTCTGCATTTCAGGAGTTTGCATTAGCCAAAAGTAACTTTTTAAATATGTAGACATTGCCTTTACCAATCAGTTCCAAGCTGGTAAGGCATATTCATAATTTAAGATACCCTGCTTTTAAAAAAATGAAATATCTTTTCCCTCCATTGGATTCATTTCACATGTCAAGGCCATATTGTCACACCAGATGTATTTTTTTTTCCCTTCTCAACTATGTTGGGAAGGATCAAATTTCCAACTTATGTTGCATATTAAATGTCAATTTTTATGCATATTTCCTTATAGATGGTTGTTAACATATATTCTATTAGAATATGAAATTCAATAGTTTAAGATTGGATTATTCCTTGAAGAATGTTTTCCATTTAGCATACTAAAACATTTGAGCATAATTATGGATTTATTATTTCTATTTTTAAAAATAGCTATTGTTAAAATGCTTTTCACAAAAGCAGAACAAATATGGAAAAGGACAAATCAGTTACTTGACATATACTAAAAAGTTTGCTTATTTAAAAGGAATTTAAAATTCCTTGTATGTTGAAATGAAATTAAAAGGGTACATATCTATTAGTACTCAGTGAGAATGAACATCTTATCTTAGGCTTTATGTATTTTTTTAATAACCCCACTTTACTGCCTGACATTTCAAAGAAAATTTGAAAATACAGCATATTTGTATTAATAACTACTCACATCGTTGTTTTCGATTAGTTATTGTCACAGGAGTTTTCCCCCTAGATTTTTTATATAACTGTTATAACAGTGCAGGAAATTTCTCAAAGGCATAGCTATATAGTATATAACATTTGTGTCAAATAATTACTCCTATATGTAAATAATTGAAAGAACAACAAAATAAAATCAAGAAAAACGTAAGGCCTTCCTAATGTAAACACAATCTTTCATAACTAGAAATAGTAGCTTTCAGTGTCAAAGTTACTGGGAATGAATCTTAAACTACTATGGAATATAGTAAACAGTGTAGGTAAATAAGGGGTAATAACTCAGGAAACAGTAAGCTCAACCAGTTCTGAGGAAATGCAAAATCAGATTGTTTTTCTTCAGCTTTAATCTGCTTTAGTTTCTTACTGTGTTTGTATTGATGGCAGAACAAATGGTAAAATGCAGTGAACCTTACATTAAACTGTGGTGCCCACCATTGAGTACTTAAGTAAGTTTCAAAACAATGCCTTACCACTGCTGAAAACTTCTTCAGCTTGGCATTCAAGGCCTCTACAGTCTTGTGCCATCCTGCCCATGTAGCTTATTTCATATGACCCTGAACATGCCTTCCTATTTTCAAGGCTCCCTGCATCCCAGATCTTTAGTTCTATCTTTTAAATTCCTATCTGTTATTCAAGACTCAGCTCAAATATTACTATCCACATAAAGGCTTCCTTCTCTGTTTCCCTTGTAGAAGATGATGCTGCCTTCTCTAGCACTTTGTACCTTTTTTCATGAAATTTCTTGTACTCTTTTTTTTAAACTATAGTCATTTGTTTATGAGTTGTATCACCTTTACTGGTTTGTAAACTTCAAGGATGTAATCTTATTGACATTTTAAAGTTTCTCTGTGCTAATGAGTGCTCAGAACATTTTGTTATTCAGTTGTTTCAGTTGTCTGACTCTTTGTAATCCTATTTGGGGTTTTCTTGGCAAAGATGATGGAGTGGTTTGCCATTTCCTTTTCCATCTCAGTTTTA